TTGAGCTCCAGAGTCGCTAAATGGGACTCGAACCGACCGTGTGACCCCACCAATGGATAGCTCTCCGAACGAGGAATCCATTGGTGGGGTCACACGGTCGGTTGGTGTCCCATTTAGCGACTCTGGAGCTCAAAACGCGTCTCGAATTTTGGCCGCTCCACCGGTCTTCTGGCCCACAGTGCGCTGCACCCTGGCCGGCCAGCGCTCCAAGAGAGAGGCCCACGGCCAAGCCACGGCCAAGCCACGGCCAGCCCACCCCTGTTCCGACGAAGCCCCGCGCTAACCACTTCCACCGAACGCCCCGCCGCGGGTCGCTCGGTCTCGGTACCACTACACTGCCAGCGCCAGCAGCGCCAGCAGCGCCGGCCTGCCGAGTAGAGTGATTCCGAATAAGCGTCGTGTCGTCGCCCTGTCTCTCTCGTGTCCCCACGGAAAGCCCCGCGTTCGACAGCGACAGAGCGATGGAGACGAAACTTGTTCCTGTTCGGAATCAGTGCGCTGGGCTGCCCAACGCGCGCCTTGGCCTTACCGACCGACTGCGGCGCGCTGCGGCGCCTACTCTGACGGGCTGACGGCTCGCCTGACGGGCTGACGGTGACGGACCGACTGGCGGCGCGGCCTGTCCGCTACCGAGTACCGAGTAGAACCCCCGAGCCAACTTCTGGCGAGGCCATTACTCAAGTGATCAAGATACCCGTGGCGAATGGCGAATGGTTATGGCGCTGGATTCCAATAAATTAATTAAGGAAATGTCGCTTCTCGGAAGTGCGGCGCGGCCGAGGTGCGACGGCCGCGGTCAGCCCGGTCCCTCAACCTCGACGTCGACGCCGGCTCAACCCGCGGGGCGCCACGCGCGCGGGGCTCTTCTTGTGGAGCCGCGGCGAGCAGGCGAACAAAAGGACGTTAATTTCAAGCCGGCTGATTGCGTTCGGGGATTGGCCAGCGGGAGTTCTCAGCAGGTGGCGTTTGGATGTCATACGGAGCCCCGCCCCCGCCCCGCCCCCACGCCCCGCCCCCGCCCCGCCCCCGCCACGCCGCCGGGGGTGACAGTTGCATAGCGTGCGTCCAGGACGGCCAGGACGTCCCCTCTTCTCGGAGCCCTTCGCCGCCCTCCCTTCCCCAGCGTTCCCCGAAGCGACGCCGTTTGCTCGAAGAATGATTTGCACGATTTGTTCTTCTCCATGTGGCGACGGACGACTGGCGCGCCTCGCCCCGCCCCGCCCCGCCCCGCCACGCTGCGCCACGCCGTTGATGAAAGGTTTTAATCTCCTCGGCCAACAGTGCCCCAGCAGTGGCGAGCACCGAGTATACAGCAGCAGTCCAGTGGGATCAGAGCGGGGCGAGGGGGCGGGGAGGGGCACTCCTTTATCAAACGCTAATCAGGTTCCTCGAAGCTGGCGCTACCCCCTTCCTTCCCCTTCCCCTCCCCCTCCCCCTCGGTGCCCCGGGCAGGCGAAGGCAAACCGTTACGCTGGTGGGGGCCGGGCCCAGGCCGGGCCGATGGGGTGAGCCTATATGTGCGATCCGCTTCGCGAGCTCGGCATGAGCAAAAAGGGCAGAGGGCTCCGGCGGCTCCGCTATTCCCAGGACTTGGACGTGCATCGCTTCGCCAGAGGCTGCACCACGCCGTCGTCGCGTGCCGCGTGCTGCCGTGCCCTGGTCGTGGTGGTCGTGGTGGTCGTGGCCCCGTCACGCCGACGCAACGCGAGCAACGCGAACAAGGCCATGCTCGGCGTGCAGACTGTCACCGGCAATGGCGCTCCGCTCATGAACTACATGACACACCGGGGATTAATCCCTGGACTTTATCTAACGGGGAAGGCAGGCCGGGCAGGCCGCTGCACAATTACTATCTCAACAGCGCACTGAGGATGACACACCGAAGCTCGCGACAGGTGCTCGCTGATACAAAACACGCTGATGACCCGTTCGGTACCGATACTGCGTTCCGCGAACGCGTTCGGGAACCACGATTCTGGGAGCCTCGGCAGCCGCCAGGGCCTTCGGGCCTCGCGATGCGTAGGGCTGGGCTTCTAGGTACTGTGAGCACACTGTGAGTGGCTGCACCGAGCTCAAAGGTAGCGCGTGGCAGGGCGCAAGGGAACAGGCGCTACACTAGAGGGCCTCCTAGGCGCTACCCCACGCGCTAGGCGCGATGCACGCCACGCGGGGTAACGACGGGTCACTTGCTTTTCCACGGATGGGTGCAAAGAGGGTCCGTGTGTCCCACACCGTCCTGCGAACTACAGTACGAACACACTACGAACGCTCGAGCTACACATCGATCGCCGCCGTGCCGCGCCGTGCCGCGCCGTGCCGCGCCACGCTCATTTCCCCGAAGCTCCAACCGGCCGTCGTTCGGATCGGCCGTCCCTTGGGGCGCGGCTGGCGCGGCGCGGCGACACGGCAGACACGGCCGCGGCAGTGGAGTTGCAGGAGGTCTGGAGTGGAGGGGACACGCTTCCCAGAAGCTCTGAAATGCTCGCGGCGGCATACTGTAGCGACCCTCATATGGGCGAAGTGGGCCTGAGTCGGGCCGGGCCGGGCCGAGCCGAGCCGAGCCGAGCCGAGCCGACTTCCCCCGAACCGTTCCAATTTGATCTGCAGGAATCGCTCGGCGCGGCGCGCAGGCTGCTTGACGGGGTGGTTGATGGGGTCGGCATCCCCGGCGCGCCCTTGCCTCGCCCCGAGCAGCAGCTGCCTTACTCCCCGTTCGATCCTGCGCCTATTCACGGCGGCACGGGCTTTTATTCAAATCGGCTGCCGCCCCGCCGGCAGACGGCAGCAGGCTGATTCCGAGAGCGATTTTCGTCGCTCTGCCTCCCTCGCACCCATGCGAGACGCGAGACGGAGCGACGAAAAAGACTCTCGGCATCAGCCGGCCCGAGCACCCCTGGGCCGGCAGGCCGGCAGCACGGCGGCGGCGGTGCGGTGCTCTCCAGGCTGATTAGTTTCGGCACACCGGGTCCCTGGAAACAAGCAGGCCCCTTATCGCACTCCGAGAACTAGTCCAGCCAGATTGCCGTGACCCGGTTTGCCGAAACACGTCCGAGGCGCACGGCGACAGCGGGCGACAGCATGCGACAGCGACATCGCCGCCAGTTTCGTTTCGACTCGGCGACGCATTCTGTCCGATTCTGTCTTACTGCCTCCGCGGTGACGTCACACGTGACAGGTGCACGACGCAGCGGCGCTATGACGTAAGGCGCCTATCGAGGAAGTCGATGAGCGCGGTGGACGAGGAGGATGTCGTAGGGACGTCCGGAGTGTCTTATCGGGGCCGCCGGCAGATGAGCTGGTGGCTGGTTTCGTTTTGGGTGACCAGGCTCGGACTGGCCAGGGCAGACAGGTGGAAAAATCTGCCGGGGCCTTTCGGGTTTGGGACCAGTAACGTCACAAAGTTGGTCAAAGAGTCCTAGTATATATAGGACGAAAGTACAGCCGTTTTCGCTGATTTTGGGCGGCCACTGCGTCCGATCTAATTGCGGCCAACGGCCTCCCTCGACGCCCTAGTATTCTTAAAACCCTACTCTTTCATACCCTGTATCGGGAAGACGTTGACCACAACGATTTTGGCTCTGACCGCAACGATTTTCCGGCCAAGTTGGTCAAAAAGTGGTCGAATCTCGGAAATTTGCAGATTTTGCTGACTTTGAGTGGCCACTGTGTCCAATCTAGTCGCCGTAAAAGGCCTCCCTCGACGTCCTAGTATTCTTAAGACCCTACTCTTTCATGCCCTGTATCGGGAAGACGTTGACCACAACGATTTTGGCTTTGACCGCAACGATTTTCCGACCAAGTTGGTCAAAAAGTGGTCGAATCTCGGAAATTTGCTGATTTTGCTGACTTTGAGTGGCGACTGTGTCCAATCTAGTCGCCGTAAAAGGCCTCCCTCGACGTCCTAGTATTCTTAAGACCCTACTCTTTCATGCCCTGTATCGGGAAGACGTTGACCACAACGATTTTGGCTTTGACCGCAACGATTTTCCGACCAAGTTGGTCAAAAAGTGGTCGAATCTCGGAAATTTGCTGATTTTGCTGACTTTGAGTGGCCACTGTGTCCAATCTAGTCGCCGTAAAAGGCCTCCCTCGACGCCCTAGTATTCTTCAGACCCTACTCTTTCATGCCCTGTATCGGGAAGACGTTGACCACAACGATTTTGGCTTTGACCGCAACGATTTTCCGACTAAGTTGGTCAAAAAGTGGTTGAATGTCGGAAATTTGCAGATTTTGCTGACTTTGGGCGGCCACTGTGTTCAATCTAGTTGCCGTAAAAGGCTTCCCTCGACGCCCTGGTATTCTTAAGACTCTACTCTTTCATGCCCTGTATCGGGAAGACGTTGACCACAACGATTTTGGCTTTGACCGCAACGATTTTCCGACCAAGTTGGTCAAAAAGTGGTTGAATGTCGGAAATTTGCAGATTTTGCTGACTTTGGGCGGCCACTGTGTTCAATCTAGTTGCCGTAAAAGGCTTCCCTCGACGCCCTAGTATTCTTAAGACCCTACTCTTTCATTCCCTGTATCGGGAAGGCTATTGACCGCAACTAGTTAGGGAGCGGTAGCCTCACAAAGTTGTGTCATGAAGGGTAAAAACATAATGATGATCGGGGGCCTTTTGCGGTCTTATCCGCTGGGGCCTTTTGGGGGCTAGTCCAAGCCTGTGGGTGACGTAGACCAACCTCCTCCTTCCCGGAGAGTGGGGCGTCATTTGCCAGCCAGCTGGCCGCGTCGGGGCTGAATAATTGAAAGTTTCTTTGAGGGTCGGGTTGTTCTGCGAATAGGGAGATTGCTCCAGCAACTCGAGTCCATAGAGGCTTTGACCTTACACAAGTACAGTACAAGGAAGTTTCGCTCAAAGTCGACCGCCGCCCGCGCTCGCTGGCGCAGGCAGCTCACTCTACGGGAAAGCCGGATGGGTTGCCTAGGCTCCCGGCGCCTGCGCTGCCGGCGCCCCGCCACGCCACGCCGCGCCAACCCACAACCAGGAGAGACAGAATGGCAGAGTGCTGGCTTGTTTATTCGCAACCAACGGAGCAAACTGGGCAACGCTATGCTGGAGTAGCGGTACAGTCACTCTCATAAATCACAACAAAGAGGACATGAAAAAAGTAACAGAAACAGCTATAGAATAGGGAAAACTGAACGGTTAACAAAAAACATAAACGGAAACGGCGCACACAACAGGGTATAAAAATCTAACGGGAACACAATCAGTACAAAAACAGTAAAAAACAAGGCCGATGGTGGCGGCAGGGGGTGGGGGTGGTTTCAGTCTTCACTTGAGCCCCCTGGCGCGGCGGCACAGGCACAGCAGCCCCAGCAGGTGGAACACCGCGTACAGCACGCCCATGGCCACCACGTCCCTGCACAAGTGCGACGCGTCGAACGAGTAGTGGTCCAGCACGTGGTCGCCGTCGGAGAGGCACGGCAGCGAAGGGTCCAGGCAGGCTGCAACAGGACAGGCCGCGGTTCGAGTCCCGTCGGAGGGATGATCTTTGAGACTTGAAAGACGCCGGCATACGCACTGATGTTGGTGACGCCCTGCCACTGCACGATGCTCATGGCCTCGTTGGAGTACATGAGCCAAGACAGGTACTGCGTCCACGACACGTAGGCCGGCAGCGTGCTCAGCTTGACGAACACGCCCGAGGTGATCATGAGCACGTAGTCGAAGGGCACCAGGTACGCCATGGCTGTGGGCACCGACTCGAACGCGGACGAGAAGAAGAAGCCTGCCGACAACAACGAGCAGAAAAGAGATGAGCCCAGAACATCTTTGCCGGCTCCGGTCGTGCGCAGGGCGACGACGGTACGCACCGCAGGCCGTGGACACGTTCATGGTGAGCACGACGATGGCGGACGTGATGAGGAAGGCGTAGACGTCGTCGCGGAGGCCGGCCAGCCAGTAGGCCAGCACCGCGAACACCAGGGGCTCCACGATGAGCCCGGGCAGCTGCCGGGCACAAGACGGAACACAGCATGTACTGCCGTGTGCAAAAGAATCCGACCGTCACTACTCCACGCGTCAGAGATTTACAACGCTAGCCTTATGGTTGGTCTCTTGCGCGCGGGGTAGCGACGGTTGGGTCCTTTTGCACACGGAAGTACCCCTGCGGCGTGAACGGCCGGCGCCGCGCGCAGTCACTGAACTCCTCGCTTACCATGGACAGGACCTTGGACAAGTAGAAGGCGACGGGGCCGTAGAGGCCGGCGCGGTACTCTCGGAGGAAGAGCGGCAGCTCGGACGGGAAGACGGACAGCACGGAGTACATGGGGGAGAAGGTGTTCTCGGACACCAGGATGAAGAGCGCCCCCTGCACGGACACCACCCCCGCCTGCGAGTCGGACACCGTCCCCAGGAAGCACAGCCCCGCCATGGTCGCGATCGCCTGCAGGCCGAGAACGCCAAGTCCGTTACACAGATACACTACTCTGCTTCCAGGGCGTCTCGGAACGGAGTCAGGCTGAGTTAGGTACCCACCACTTTCTGCAGCAGCCGCATCCACTGGATGGAAGGGTCCCGGACGACCTGCAGCATGGACCTCCCCGTCAGCAGCCACAGCCTTCGCGGCCACAGGGGCGGCTCCACGGGCACGACGGAGTCGCTGCCGGGGAAAAGCACGCTTTGTTGGTACATCAACTTGAACGCGATGGGCAGGAATAGGAATGATCGCTTGGTAAGATGTAAAAGGAAGACAGTGTGCTTACATGTCCTCGCATGAAACGTCGTCCAGAGACTCGCCAAGGTTCTGCGGCAGATGGAACAGATGTCAGGAAAGAAGAGCGATTTGGTGAACATGAAGCTGGGACTGGAGTAGCAATGCTAGCGTACACACCTCCGGGGTCATTTCCTTGCAGTGGCGCGACATGACGAAGCGGTCGCAGATCTTCCTGACGGCGGCCTTGGAGGCGGCTTCGGAGCCGGGGGTGCAGGCCAGCGTGCGGATGAAGAAGTCGGCCGGGTTGTAGATGGCGGGGCACTCGTAGCCCTGCTGCCGGAAGAAGAGCAGGGCGTCCTCGGGCTTGCCGATGAAGGCGATGCGGCCGTCGGCGACGAGCATGATACGGTGGAAGCGGCCCAGCAGGTCGGACGACGGCTGGTGGATGGTGCACAGGATGGTCTTGCCGCGGCCGTGCGGCCTCGCCGCCATGCCCTGCATCAGGTCCACCAGCTGCTGCGCCGAGTACGAGTCCAGCCCCGTGGTCGGCTCGTCGCAGAACAGCAGCGGCGGGTCCGTCAGCAGCTGCGGGGAAACGGGTGTGAAAGGGAAGAAGGGAGGTGCACTGGTTTGGCGGTTGAAACAGTCAGTCACCCACCTCGGCGGCGAAGGCGAGCCGCTTCCGCTCCCCGCCCGACAGCACCTTGTCGTGGCCCGGCGTGCCGATGCGCGTGTGCGCCGACGACGTGAGGCCCAGCTGCCGCAGCAACTGCTGCACCTTCTTCTGGCGCTCCCAGCAGCTGGTGCGCCGGTCCAGCCGCATCCTGGCCTGCCACATCAAGAGCACCTTTCAGCACCGCAGCCCGCGGCGCGAGCTCTCGCGAGTCCACGCCACTGGCGACCCTCACCATGAAGTTGAGGTGCTCCTCCACGGTGAGCTGGGGCACGAAGATGTCCTCCTGGTGCAGGAAGCCGGACAGGCGGTGCATGAAGTCGCCGACGGGCCGGCCGCCGACGCGGATGTCGCCGCGGACCAGGACGCCGGCGGGGCTGCGGTGCGCCAGCGCGGCCATCAGCGTGCTCTTGCCCGCGCCGCTCGCCCCCATGACGGCCACCAGGGAGCCCGGCCGCACCACGCCGCTCACTGCAGCACGAGAAGACACGCATGATTCTCGGGTTCGAACACACCGGTCGCCTTGTTTCCTTCCCCCTGGCTCACCGTTTTTGATGATCCGCTTGCAGGGGTAGCCCCGCGGCGCAGCGAAGACGCTCAGGTCCCTCCAGGACAGCGTCACCCCGCGAGGCACGTCCGCGTCGGCCTGGAGCGTCAAGACTCGGTCAGTGTGCAGGGCGAGGCATTATTGTTTTTCGATTACGGTTCGCGGTCCACAGTGTGCTCACCGAGCTGCTGCCGATGCTGCCACTGCCGCTGGAGTCCCCGCGCTCCGGGCGCTGCGTCGTGCACGTCGCGTCGCAGTCCATGGCCTTGGCTTCAAGGGGCTGCCCCTGTCCGGAGTCCATCGCGGACCTGTCGCTGTGTCACGTGGCCGCCGTCGCCCGGCACGGCGTCGAAGCGACCGAGGGGCGCATCTGCAGGCCGAACGCAAAGCCACCCCCAGTCGGTCAGTCTTTCCGCAACCGCCGCCCTCCTCCGACACACAACCCTCCTGTTCTAGGCCCTCTAGGCCCACTGCGTGCTGTAATCAGATAGAAGGCATAGGTGCAGCGCCGGAGGGAGGGGAGGGGGAGAGGGCGGGGAAGGGGCAGAAGCCCATCTAGAGTTACACCGCGGTGTCCCCTTGGCGTTCGCGTGGACGCCGGCCGTCCCCATGGCTCACTCGGGATAAAAAAAAATCACTGACAACAAACGGTAAACAAATCAAATGACGGCAACAAACAAACAAATAAGGTCGAAGAATAGGCAAACACGTGCCGTGCAGCCGCAAGGCCTTTATCGGCGGGAACGAGATGCTGCACCAGATAGACGCACTAACGGAACCTTTTCAAGGGCACACGCCCGTGCCACCAAGAAGTGCCTCCTCGTCTCCAAGTGCCAGTCCTACCTGGGTCGCGGTGCGGTCCGCGCGAAGGCGCCACCCCGTCGACGCCCTGGTCGGTGTCGCCGAGTCCCCGGCGCTGTGCGTCCGTCAGGCCACTGTTGGCGTCTCGTCACTCCGGCGACCGCGACTGCCAGTAGAAGGGCGACGGGCACGGCGACACTCCACGCGGCGGCCCTCCCCCGCTCGCCGCCGGACGCCACCTCCCCGCCCCGCCCCGCCCCGCCCCGCCCCGCCCTCACCGCACCCGCCACTCCCCCGCACCCGGTGCAGTGCATTTCGGTTCCCGCGCCAGCTACCGCTGCTGCCGCGGATAGCGCCGGCGAGGGCCTTTGGGCTCGGCGACAATAGTCCGTCGAGCACAGTTCGGTTGGAACAAAACCAAACAGAAATGAACGAAGTAAAATGGTTTGGCAGGCCTGTTGTGGTTTGTGCGTGTGGCGGCGGCGTGCGGTCGCCCGGTCTCGAGGTGCGGTATTATCCTTGGCGGGGTCCGCCCCCTCACAACCCAACCCCCTCGCGGCGAAGCCGTACGCCAAAGCCCCACACCCTACACCGTGCAGCCCAGGCCGGCCCAGGCCAGCCTCCCCTACTCCCTACGCACCGCGATCTTACCGCACGCCCAAGTGAGTGACATGGGGTCGCGGCGTGTTGGGTCAATACGAGGTGCGTGAATTAAAGCGGTGTGCACGCTGCACGGGCGAAGCCGCGATGCAACCAACTTACGTTATGAGAGATAAATGCTAGGCACTAGATAAGGCTGATATGTAGAGCACCAACACAGTATACCTCCTTTGGACGCCTATTAGACACGAGGTCACCTTGGCAGCCCGCGAGTGAAGCTGAGGACCGAGGACCCGGCCCTCCGGGACGAACTGAATTTTTCCAGAGCAACTTGTAGTGACATGTGTAGACAGACACGTGGCAAAACGGAAATAAGGGGGACAAGACACAGCGAATGGGCGCCCGCAGTCGCAGTCCTCGCAGCGCCTGCGGACTGATTCCGAGGGTCGTTTTCGTCGCCCTGTCTCTCTCGCACCTACAGGGAACGCCCCATGGGTGCGCGAGAGAGCCGGAGCGACGAAAACGACTCTCGGAATCAGTCGTCCACTGTCTCGTCGGCGCTCCGCTGCTCCGCTCCACTCCGATACTCGATACGCCCAGGGGCGCGGGGGCGGGGTGGCGAGACGCTTTGTCCGCGCATGCGAATCTCCCTTTCCGCGCTGCGCCGTTTGTCCTTTTATGCAGTCCGTACAGTCCGTCCGAGCTGGTGGCCGGGTCCGCAACGCCTCGCCGCCGCTGCGGAGTTCGTGTCTCAAGGGACTGTACCCGGGAGACGCAGACGCGCAGCCGCCGCGCCTTGAGCCCTTCCCGTCTGTGTCGCAGTGCGGGCCCTTTTCCAGGCACACAGTAAATGTCTTACGGTGAAAGACTGCTCCAACATAATATGGTACCAACGAAATTCGTCAAAATATCTATAAGGTACAGTGAATTCTCAATGGTATGTTACGAAGTCAGCTGCACCACCATAATATGGAACATTTTCACCATGACATGGTGAAAATTCACTGTACAACATTCACTGTACAACATTTAGAGTGCAGCTGCCCCGTTCCAGGCCCAGCCGGCCCAGTCTCCAGGCGACGCGTGCGCTGCGTGCGGTGCCGCGCTCCAGGTTCCCATAGGGTAGCGGACACCTCCCCGAAGGGCGACATGGTGGCTTCCGCCCGGTCTCTAGCCTCGCGTGGACCCGTGCGCGGGTGGACCCACGGGCCATGGGAGCCTGAGAGTCCGAGGCTCGCCGAGGCTGGACCGCGCGTCCGGCCGTCCGGTCCCACGCAGCGGGCTGGTTTGACCACGCTCCGGCAGTCGCCCCCCCAAGGTCACCACCAAGGTCACCACCAAGGTCACCCATGCCCCCCAGAGGAACCGATGAGGTCCACCATCGCACGTGGGGTGGGAGGAAGTAGTCAACCAATGAGAAAACAACGGTTTTACTATAAAAACGATTTTATTTTCTTCATTATTTCAACAAATAATATGAGCCTCAACGGCTTGTATTTCTCGCACACACACGCGTTCTCAATGGAAACTAATTTATAAAACAAAAAACATGTTATCACAAAATCACACCACTCTCCTTATTTACATAAAAACGCCTTTTCAGACACGTGTTTTACAAAAAACACGATGAGCTTGTAATTCCGAGCATAGCAAAATAATTTAAAGTATCAAGTAAAAAATAGTTCCTAGGGGGTGCCATCATCCAGCCAGGCGGGATAACATGAGCACCTCCCTCACTAAAATGGCACAAGTTTCACATTTTCATTTTCCACTTATAAAAATGGCACTAAGTTTGTCGGCCTCCTCCATCCTCTTCGTCTTCACTCTACACTCACGCCTATATGACTCAGATCTCGACTAACCTAAATTAATCACAGTCTTCATCCTGGGTTCGACACCCCTGGCTGTACTTCGTCTTGGCAGTTTGCGTTGTCGTCGCCGTCCTGGACGAAACCTCACGACCGGAAGGTCTTCGACAGAAGGGCGAGGAAAGCGAAGAACCGGAACGCGAGGATCAGTGCTCCCAGGTTCACGATGTCAATCCAGAAGTTTTCCTATGAAAAATGAAAAACAATATGAATGAGCAGGATTTGAACCGCGGACCTTCGGGATTCAAAACGGCCTCCCGAGCCGCTCGGCTACTGACGCACCTCGTGGAAGGAGAGCGTCTCGAGCACCACGTGGCCAGTGCGCGGGCAGGTGGCGTTGCCGCGGGTGCAGGCGATCTCCTCCACGCCCTGCCACTGGTTGATGAGCAGCGCCTCGTCGCCGTACTTGAACCACGACAAGTACGACAGCCACTTGAAGTAGCTCGGCACGGAGCTGGGGGGAACGAGAACAAGCGGGCGTTAAAGACTTTCCTTTGCAAGTTTTTGACATATTGCTGAGTCCCGGTGGCTTACTCGTTGTTGAGGAAGAAGCCTCCGAACAACATGAAGGGGATGACTACGGGCGGGCCTATGGACAGCGCCATGGAGACGCTGTTTGAGATGCAAGAGATCAAGTAGCCTGGAACAATAGAATTTCCAATTTTACTTTTTGTTGCGTTTTTCTTCGTCCAGTGAAAATCATTTTAAAGTGTCGTGCCGTACCAAAGCTGGTGGCGACGTTGGCCACGAGGACGATGACGAGGCAGGCCAGGAAAAAGCGGGCGGGCTCGGGGTTCAGGCCGATGAGGTAGTAGGGCAGCGAGATGAAGAGCAGCGGGAGCACCAGGAACACGGGGGTCTCGGCCAGCGTCTTGCACAGGAAGTACACGTCGGCGCGGTACATGCCGTTCAGGTGCTCCCTCATGAAGATGGGCAGCTCGGCGCAGAACACCTGCAAGGAAGTGCGAGTATTGGGTTGCTGCACGTGCAGTGTGAGGGCGTGGCACAGTGCGCCAGTTGTCCGGTGGAGGCGGTCAAAATCCCGGACGCGTCTTGAGCTCCAGATCGACTCGAGTCGCTAAACGGGACTTGAACCAAACGTGTGACCCCACCAATGGATTCCTCGTTCGGAGAGCCATCCATTGGCGGGGTCACACGTTCGGTTCGAGTGCCCCACCAATGGATTCCTCGTTCGGAGAGCAATCCATTGGCGGGGTCACACGTTCGGTTCGAGTGCCATTTCGCGACTCTGGAGCTCAAAACGCGTCTAGAGTTTTGGCCGCCTCCAACTGTGCGTGACCCCCCCCCCCCGGGCCTTTCGCTTTGTTTGGCAGTCGCTTACGTTGATGACGGCGAACACGTTCTGGAACGTCATGTTGGTCAGGCAGATGAAGAGTACTCCGTTGATGTTCATGACGCCGTCCTGGTCCAGTGACTGGCCGTAGTAGATGAGCACGATCATGAGCGCCACCATCTGCAACAACAAGGTTTTAGGTAATCCAATCCACTTCCCTCCAACACGGCTGCACGGAGAGGGGCACTCACGATGGTCTGCAGCATGCGGACTTTGATGAGCTGGGGCTCCTTGAAGACGGAGAGCGTGGAGCGCCACAGCACGGCGCGGAATTGCGCCAGCCAGGACGCTTTGTAGGGGGACGTGTCCACCAGGAAGAGGTCCTCCTCCCAGGAGTGGGGCGGCTTGGCCTGCGGGCGGAGCGGGGAGTTGGAAGTTAAGACACTGCATTGAGCGGGCAGCTCCAAGCGCCGTGCGAGGTAGGCCGCGCCGCAACGCTCCGCTGCTTAACGGGACTGCCTACCCCGCCGTCCGCAGGCGCTCCCGCGAGTCCGCGATTCCACCCCCGCGCACTCTGTCTCTCTCGCACCGTTACGGCACACTCCATGAGTGCGAGAGAGGCAGAGCGAGAAGTTCGCCGAGGCCCACCACGTGTACTCGTACAGTGTACGCACCAGGAGGTCGCTGCCGGCGTCCGCGTCGTGCTGCACCTTGAGGCCGTACTCGGAGCGCTGGAAGGCGTCGCACACCATCTCGATGGTCTGCCGGCACGACTCCTCGCGCGTCGGCACCACGGCCAGCAGCTGCACGAAGAAGTCGGCGGGGTTGTAGTTGCTGGGGCAGCCGGCGCCGAGCCTGGCGGACCAAGAGCGAGTGTGGTTAGGTCTAGACTACGGAGACTTCGAGATTGTGGTGGCTTTGAGGATGGTACTGACTGGCTGAAGAAGCGGCACGCGTGGTCCGGCGCGCCCAGGAAGGCGACGCGGCCCTCGGCCATCAGGAGGACCTTGTCGAACAGCGAGAACACCTCGGACGACGGCTGGTGGATGGTGCACACCACGGTCTTGCCCTTGCGCGCCATGCCCGCCAGCACCGACACCACGTTCTGGGCCATGAACGAGTCCAGCCCCGAGGTGGGCTCGTCGCAGAACATGAGCGGCGGGTCCGTCAGCACCTGTAACATGGCGCCAAGGGGCGTGAGTGTGAGTCTAGCGCCCTGCATGGGTTGCGATGCTAGTCACGTGGCGTGTAGTCTACACTGTAGACTCACCTCGGAAGCGAACGACAGTCTTTTCATCTCCCCTCCAGAGATCCCCTTGACGCGGCCGGGGACGCCGATGGTGGTGTTCTCGCACTTGGCCAGCGCCAACTGCAGGGCAAGAAAGTCATCAATCACTGCCGGCAGAGTGTTGTACCCCACAAGGAGTAAAATTTCAAGACTTGCCGCACCTCCTGGATGACCTCGTCCACCCTGCGCATGCGGCGCGCGTACGGGATGTGCCTGTCCATGCGCACCAGGGCCTGGAACACGAGGTGCTCGCGCACGGTGAGCGTTCCGATGAACAGGTCGTCTTGCTGCACGTAGGCGGACAGCGCGGCCACGGCGTTGCGGCCGACGCGGACGCCGTTGACGCAGCGCCGCCCCGTCACGGACACGCCGTTGCCGGAGCGGAAGGTGAGCGTGTTGAGCAGCGTCGTCTTGCCCGCGCCGCTCGAGCCCATGATGGCCAGCAGCTCGCCCGGGTACGCCACGCCGAACACTGCAAAGGAGACGGGTTAATCTCTTGTCGCTTTCCAGGCCAACCGCACCGCACTGTGAGGAGAGGTAGTCCGTACCGCTCTTGAGGATGTGCTTGCGGTGCGGCGCCACGCCGTGTCTCCCAGTGCAGCGCCCCCACAGCGAGCGCGCGGCCTGCAGCGCGCCGCCCCGCTGCTCGTCGCCGCTGAAGACGTTCACGTCGCTCCAGGAGTACACCAGCCGCTCGTTGCCCATGGGCGACAGGATGGTGTCCCTCGGCGGGCCGCCGCCCCCGCCGTCACCGTCGCCGCCGTGGCCGTGGACGGGGCTGCCGTTGAAGCTGCCGTAGCCGTTGCCGTTGCCGCGCTCCTTGGAGAGCTCGTCCAGGTACAGCGGCGCGCCGTCGTAGACGTGGTTGGGTTCCTGGCGCCGCAGAGACACACCGGATCAATGCAAATGAAACAAGGTCTTTGGCGAGATTCTTTATTAACTTTTTGCAGCTCGCGTAGGCATGCGATACTGGAATGCAATCTGCCGGGGAAAACGTATGACCGCGGCATCGGTCCAGCATCACGCTGTTCGCTTATATAATTGGCGCGACAACACCGCACCGTCCCCTGATCGTCGTGAACGCTTTCTAACCCGCACCGCGAACCGTACCGCGTGGCGGCGTGGCACGCCGTGCCGTGCTGTGCGGTCCTCAACCCACACTGTGAGAAAAAAGTACGGAAAAAGTACGGAACATGTCTGGTCAATAATTTGCCTGGAACGTCCGTACTTGCCAACTACGGAACGTTCCGTACTTTTTTCCGTACCCATTTACATGGGTTCATATGGAGCAAGTACGGAACGTTCCGTACTTTTCTCCGTACCTCCGTACTATATTTTTCTGTACCATTTCCGTACAAAAGTACGGAATTTTTTACAGTGCACGCGGTCCTGATTGGCCGCAGAAGCCGGCAGAAGCCGGCAGGGAGGCTCTCGTATCGCGGCATGCCGTGCAACGCGTATCGGGTGTCTCGCCTACATTCCCGCACCGAGCCGCTCTGGGTCGGGAGGATCACGACCTCCTCGGGCACGCCGACGGTGCTCTGAATGCCTCCCAAATCAAAACGCTTGGCCTTAACCTCGGACTAGAGGAACGGCCCCAGGATAGGAATGTCCAGCTTATATAAGTGTGGGCCATGCTGCCGCTGCGGCGCGGCGCGAGGCTACGCCGGCAAGGCCAAGCGTCCTTACATAAGCTGGATAGGAAGCTGCGACCGGCCTAGCCTCTTCGCCGGGACGCCAGGACTCATTGACCCGGTGCCAGGTCCTGCGAGGTCCTGCGCGCGAAGTGCGTCGCCTGTTCAGGGCGACTGCTTGGCGTGCTCGCCGTGCTCGCCGCGAACCCCGAGGCGGTTTTTTAACGCCGTCGGCACCTCGTTGAGCTCCATCTTTGTTGAGACGGAAAGCCATATCAGAGTGACAGGCGAGGGCAGAGAGGCTGGTCGAGCGAGCGGCAGGCAAACCCGACCAGTCGGGATTCCAGCTCCCCTCCCCCTGCGCCCCCCGCCAGCCTTTCCCGGTTCCAAGAGGGCCGGCCGCTAAGTCACACGACAAGAGCCGCTGGGGCGACCCCTGCACGCCAAAGGACCCCAAAGAAGTCCGGCATGTGTTCGAAATCGATCGCGAGAGGACGGCATCACGCAGCCACCCCTGCGTTACGTGTTTCGCCTGGCCAGGCTGGCGCCCCTGTTGGCCTAGGGTGGCGCCCCGGGGTCGGATCACATGCAGCGCACTTGCATTGCACGCACGCCGACATGCACTCACGCACACACACGCGCACACACACGCACACGATCACGAAAAACACTTTTTTGAGCAAACCCGAGAGGTGCATCTTGCCGCACACGTGGTCACGCCAGTGGCCAATGACCTGTTATCAGCGAGCGTAACCGCGTAGTGCGTAGCACCTGCTGCAGCGAGGAGCTTCCTCAAATCGTCTCAACAGTCGTCGATCGCTTCAACCAGCGAATTTTCACAATTTTCACAATTTTCACAAAGTGGCAACGACCGGTGTCTTTCGAAGCGGCGCGGCGGTGCTTGAGATTGAAACAGTGCACGGACACGGTACTCACGTCGTGCAGGGAGTTCCCGGAGCCCTTGCGGCGCGTGCCGCCCTCCAGGAGGGGCGCCTGCTCCTCGCTGACCATGGCGGAGGGGCCGAGGGAGTCCTGGGTGCGGACTGGACGCTAGACGGCACCACTGGCCTCGCCTTGCCTCGCCTCGGCTATAGCACGCACCTCGCTCCAACACCCATGCGCGGCGCGACGCGGAGTGGCCGTCGGGCGTACCGGGCCTACTGAGCCTGAGCGGAGCGGAGCGAGCGGAGCGTCAGCGAGCACGCCGTGGACGCCGTGGACGCCGTGTGTGTGCGGAGCAGTGTGGAGCCCGCAGCAGCTCGGCGGGCGGGGCGGGGTGGGGCGGGGCGCGGCGGGGCGGGGCGCGACCGCTACCACCGCGACGGCGACGCCCCTGCTGCACCGCCTCCGCGAACACAACCACCGCCACCACCTCCTCGACGACGTCCTCCCCCCTCTCCTTGCCGAAGCGATTTCCGCGCCAAATAAATGCGCACGAAATTTGGAATGCAGAAATTGGGAAAATCTTATTGTGATGGCATTGTTTCCAGTGTGCTCGGAACGTGTCTTTGGAATTGTGATGCGAAGTTATTAAACGGCCAAAGCGAGCGAGCGGTCGGACGCGCCCCACCCCACCTTCACGTACTTTACGTAACCACATCCACGCTGCCGCGCCCCCTCTCCCCCTGTCCCTGTCCCGCTCTTCTCCACATCTTCTTCGTTCCTTTGCCCGTCTCCCCCTCCCTCTGCCCCTCGGGCGTTGTCGCTTATTCCAGCCCAGTTTCATAAAGGTTGGTGCTCGATGCCGGTTTTCGTTGGTCCACCACAATGTAGCGCCGGGGACGCGAGGGACTTGCGTCGGGACTACTCCCTTCCATTCCGTGCCGTCGCGACACCCGCGGCACCCGCTCCTCGTCTATTGACTCTGGCAATCGCGTCGTCGGCGACGATAAGAAATAAGCAGAAGGAGCTGCCGCCAAAACACGGCCCTGGCCAGGTCGAGCGCGGCGCCAGCGCGAGGAGTATGCACGCAGTCCCGCTCCCTGAGGCGAGGGGTATCGCCGTCGCGTGGTCGGGTGCGTTGGGAGGCCTGCCTTCACGGCGGCGCGCTGTGCTGCATTGTAGCCGCCAACTGGGGCTCGCGCGTTTTGGCGGGAAGCATGATGCTTGTTTTCGGACGTGCCCGCCGAGCTCATTCGCGGTCTGCAGACTGATTCCGAGAGTAGCTCTGTCTCTCTCGCACCTACACGCAACGCCCCTTGAGTGCGAAAGAGACAGAGCGACGAAAGCGACTCTCGGCATCAGTCTGCAGGACGGACGGCGGCGTGCCCGTGGCGGCAGATTTATACCCCGGAATGCCGCGCGGGGAATGCACGGTCGAGGCGGTGCACCGCGGCATGCAGGCCGTCGTGCAGGCCGTGCTGGCCATGCAGGTCACTGCGCGAGCGGCAAACTGCAAACGGCGCGTAGCCACGCGACCTGGGGGCCGCGGCGACAGCCCTCGCCCTCCGGTAACTCAAACTGAAAGCCACCTGAATCAACAACACCCCTTGAGCCTCGCACTGCCTCAATTTAATAACGGGGCGTTGCTTTCAACCATATCGCACCCCCGATCAATCCACGCCGACTGTTTCCACCATTTTTCAATTCACATCGACTTTTTTGCAAAGCCCAGCGACACAGAGACAGAGCGGTGGCAGTACAGTACGTCACCCAGCACTTCCATGACTGCGTGATGAGGTCACAGTATCCGCGAAACCTGCGTCGCGGCCACGTCACCAGTGCCACCGCCACATGGCGCTGCGTCACTTGAGGCGTCACTCGCACGCCGCGAAATGGGGACCGCGAATTCGGACGGCTGTGCATGAGCAGTGTCGCGACATCCGTCATCGTTTTCGCCAAATTAGCGATACCGCTGCTCCCACACGCTTATTTGCAAATCGTGTGCCCGCGTGTACTCAAGGCTCAAAACCATGCGTCCGCACGCAGGGAGTTTCATGTGTGCAAAGCGTTCGGACACAGCTGCTGCCCAAGTTCAAACAGTTCAAGTGGAAGTACAAGTTCGAGTTAGGGGTTCCAATTCGCGGCCTTGGGCTGGCGCCACACATTTACTTAGTCCAAAACGTTTAAAAATTGTATCAATGTAAGTATGGACGAACCTTGTTCTCTCAATGGCCAAAATAGTGATCGTCACCGTTCAGGGGTTCGAAAGGAAGAGCTCACACTCGGTATTGTCAAATTTATTGCGCGATACCACGATAAATTTCTGGGGACAAGCAAGCCACAGTTTCCGCTGCAGGACAAGGAAGTTGGCATTCCTTCGCTGTTTTTCTCTCTTCTTATCCATTTCTTTTTCAGACAAACAGGTGGGCTTGGCGACCCTGATGAACCCAGATGCCTCCTCGCGGCGTGTCGCCGCGCGGCGCCGCGTGCCGTGCGGGGACAGCGACTAAAGCTCCGCGGTCGCTCCGCGGTGAGCTAATGAAAACTACTCGTAACGCGTCCGGCGTGGAGGCCGGCCGGCAAGCGCCGCTATTTCGGCGCGGTGATGTCACTCATTTCGGTTCAGCGGTCCGCGGACAGCGAAGCGCCTTTTCAAACAAGACGCATCATAAAGCTGTGCGCATGCACCAGGAAGCGTCTCAAACTTTCAGTCACAGCCTTTTCTTACCATCGGTTCAGCCTCGCAGAACAAAATTGAATTTGAGAATTTTAATCGAATTTTCGACTTGGAACGATGTTTGCGTTGACACGGTAGGGGAAATTAATTTGGTTAGGGGGTCCACACTATCTTATCAAGTCAAGGACTCTGCTCGAATATAGATCCGGGGAAGGACTCCGAACCAGCTGGAGTGTCTGTGTGGTGGGTGTGCCAAGGACGCGTGAGCGTGTGTGTGTGTGTGTGTGTGTGTGTGTGTGTGTGTGTGTGTGTGTGTGTGTGTGTGTGCGTGCGCGCGCGCGCGCGCGCGCAAGGGGGCTGAAAAAGAGGAAACGCCGCGTGGCGAGTCGGACACGACAGGAGGGCTACTTCCAAAGAGAGAGAAAGGAACAGAGAGAGGCGGCGCGACGACTGCGGGACTGAGAGAGACGGAGTGAAAACAACTCGCCGCCGCCTCCGCCACCGCCACCGCGGCGGCCGCGGGGAGGGGGCAGCAGGGCCGTGAGAAGGCGCGGTTCGGCGAGTCGCCGCGCTGCTCGGGCTTGGCGTCGGCCGGGCCGGGCCGCTCAGTTGACCGCCAACATCCGATCAGGACACGCGTGCTCCAAGACACACCCTCTGCCAACCAGGTGAGTCCGCCTCTCTCACCTCAGCATCTCCAGTGCAGTGGGTACAGTGTTGGCTCTTCCTATCCCACTGCTGAGCTCGCGCGCTTGCACCGAACAGTGTTTTGTTGGAAACAGCTCATTGCAGTCGATAAATTTTTCATAATTGAGGATTGCTTGTGGCTTTTTGGTGCCATTCGCTGCGGTGTTGTTCTTCCTTCAAATTTTTGATGTGGCCGACAATCGGTGGAGCCAAACTGCTTGCCGTCCGATCCAGCTGCTCCAGCTGTGGCTGGGCTGGACCCGAGGGGTGGACCCCACCCCGAGGGCGGCTGTCGAGGCCCACGAGGGGTGCGCCGCTCCGCGTTCCGCGTCCCCTTTGTCTGCTGCCGTCCGCTCGCCCGCGGCGTCGCCGTTTGTAAACAACAGGCGGACAGACAGACCGGCGTCCTGGACGATGCACGGCGCTGCAGCGGGGCAGGCCGGGCCGGGCCGAGCGAGCGCGTCCCTCCAAACTCCGGTGCTCCGGTGCAGGGCTCCGGGCCGCGTCCGGTACACGGTGCCGCTTGGTTGCCCTCGGGGGGACCGCCGCTCCGCCGCTCCGCCGCTCGTACCCGGAACGCGTCCCGCACTCCTTGTTGTGCTCCGGGCCGCGGGTCGGATTTTGATCAACAAGTGACTCGCGGCGAGGACGTCGCCACCTGTGGCGCCCGCGGCGAGGCGCCGGGGCCAGTACAGTAGTTGTTTCCCTCGCTCTGTCTCTCTCAAACTCATGGGTCGTCTCGCACAGGTGCGAGAGAGACAGAGAACGGCTCTCGGAATCAGTCCCCACCGGTGCGAAGGGACTTCCCGAGGACCAGGATTGCGTGGGAATTCAAAGCGATCTGCTTTGAGGACGGCGCGCCGTTGTTTGGGTTCTCGCGGCCTGCCGCCTTGCCGGCCCGACGCCCTAGGCTGCACGCGAGAGTCGCGTTTTTATTTTTAAGTGGAAGGGATAGGACTGGGGGGGAAGGCCCAAATAAAGGCGGCCGAAGTGGGCCCCAGGAGGGCGTGGCCCCGTGGCCGGCCGGCCGGCTGCCTTCCCTTTTGGCCTTTGCCTGCCTTCGCCCAGAGTTCGAACTTTCCAGCTACTCGAACAAACGCTTCGAAACCCAAAGGCGCCCACCAAACGACGCCCACGCATCTACACACAATAGCCCGCGCACCCACTCAAACGAAATAACCGAAATGAAAAAGAAATATTGATTGGTTTCAAACCCGCGCCTCGGCCGTTCCGCTCTCATTTCCGGCTCGCTGCCGCTGCTCGCGGTGATGGGCGACGGGGATGGGCGGTGTCGTGTTTCGCGACCCCGTTGCGCCCCGAGGTGCGCCCCCGGCGGCAATTTCAGGAATTAACCGCGCGAAATGCGATAGCCGCTTGCCTCGTCGATACGCTGCGAGGGCGTGGCGCGGCCGGCCGCCGTGGCGGTGCAGTGCAAGTTTCCAAGTCCTTCTCGCCTTTCCGGAACAAAAATAATTCCCCGGCCAGTGTATATACTGGCGCCACGGTGCGGCGAGAGCATCGGCCCCCCGTCGACCGCGCCGAGTGAAGGGTTCTTTTTTACGGGGCGCCTTATCTCTTTCTGGGGGAGAGTGTACTGCTTTCCAATGCCGCTCGTTGGCCGCGGTGAAAAATTGGACACCTCCCTTTTGCGCCCACCGCCGCAGCGACGAATGCGGGCATCTGTTCACCAGAGGCGCGGCAGCTACGGGGTTTCGCAGGGCGCTTTTACTGCTCCTGGCCGCCGGCCGGCCGGACGTAGTCAACCTCCACCAGGCCGCGGCGCCGTGGCCCTTCTCGTAAACCGCGGTGCGCCGCGCGAGGCCTGCTTTGTGCGCGCTCTCTAGGCGCAGCGCAGCGCCGGTGTCCGTGTTTTCCCGCGTCTATTTTTGAAATTTGTCGCGGCCCAGCCGGCACAGCGTGCGCAGGACAGGATAGCAATGAAATTTGTTCGTCCAAAAGATACAAGCAAGATCGTACCGTCTTTACCTCTGAACAAACATTCGTATCGCTTCGACTAAACACCCACGAGCTCATTTACCCACGTGCGCGGACGGACACACACACACACACACACACACACACACACACACACACACACACACACACACACACACACACACACACACACACACAAACGCGCCCGTTGTGCGTCGTGCCCTGTTGCTAGGCAGCCGCCCCATTCCAGCCCTGCTTCCGGGGAGCCTTTCCTCGAGGCTATTTCCACCCGTTTCCGCCCGCTGCTATGCAGGCCGTGCACCCCACACTGCATTTTCAGTCGCGAGCGGTGGCGCCGTCAAGCCCGCTCTGGAGCGTGCGTGCCCCGCGTGCGAGCGTGCCTTTCGGAGTTCTTGGCGCGGCGCTTTGTTTTTCCATCCCGTGTCGTCCGGCAGCGAGTGCGCGTCGCGGCAGGACACGGTCAGGACCAGAGCGGCCTCGCGGTGACATCACCGCCGCAGAGGCGTGCCGGGGCGGGGCGGGGCGGGGCGGGGGGGGGCGGGGCGGGGTGAGCCCCGGCGCCACAAGGTAGACACTCCCACTAGTTCCTCACCGCGCATCGCAACGCCGCCGCCGAGGCGTCTCAGGGGGGCCACTGACACAAGACACGTGTAAGCGTTCAGAATTTTCTTCTCTCGTACTCAACTGGTGATTAAAACGGCTCGAAGAATGCCAGTGGCGTGACGCGTTGAGCCTTACGGACGGGCCCGATCGTCTTGCCCGCATCGGCCGTCACAGTGACGCCACCAAGTGGAGCCCTGTCCGTGCTGTGACGCCCCGGTCAATTAGTGCCCTCTCCCCCGCCGTCCTCCAGGACCGCGCCCTACGAGACCACGTCTCGATGCCCAAAGCTGGAGACGATCCAGCGCGCACTTGTCGCGCTCCGTCTCCCTCGCTCCCTGACGGCACGCTCCCGAGTGCGAGAGAGATAGAGTGCGGGCAGCGGAATCGGACTGCTGCTGGAAGCGAAGCGCTGGAAGAAGGCCGGTGATGTCACCACCCACCGTCTGGCGTCTGGCCCGGTCGGCGTCCTTGTCCTTGCCCTGGTCGTCGTCGGCGTCCTCGCGGCCGACGAGGAGGAGAGGGGCAGTGGGGGGAGCAGGGGGAGGCTCGGAGCGGCGGGAGGGTGGGGGCAGAGCACTCCCTCGGTGACCCCAAGACAAGTTCATGTATGCGCCTCGGCGGAGCGCGGCTAGCCGGTCGGAGCATAACGACCGGAAGTCCGGCAGAGCGGCGGGACGGCGGGGCGGCAGACGGAGCGCTGCATCGGCTTTGAATGCCATCAAAGCGGCCCTGTGCGGTGGCGGCTGCGCGCGTCTGGGTCTGGCGCAGCATGGCCCAGCATGGCGCCGCTAGGTAGGCCTTCTCGTGGTGCAGCCGCGTGTCCGGGTTGCCTACCTGCCCGGCTGGCCGCCAACGCCGGCAGGTAGGCCGTCCCGTCGAACGGCAGTGTGTCTGCGTTGCCTACCTGCCCGGCTGGCCGCCAACGCCGGCAGGTAGGCCGTCCCGTCGAACAGCAGTGTGTCCGCGTTGCCTACCTGCCCGGCGCTCCGGTGGCTTGACTTTAGCGCCGCGGCGTGGACCGGTATGCTAATCCACACTACTTCCGATGTGTCGGCGCGAGCGTGTGTTTTGAGCGCGGGCCTGAGCCATGAGATAATCGGCCAAGAAACAAGCAGAGTGGCGTGATGACTGTGATGACGGCCAGGCCGGCCAGGCGGCGGCGAAGCCGGGGAGAACAAAACGAGTGCGGGTTGCGGGTTGCGACACGGCCTTTCCTTTCCCCGATCGGGGCGGGGTGGGGCGGGGCGGGGCAGGGCGTGGCCGGCAGGCAGCAAGGCACCGCGGCGATGCGATCCGGGGGTCAAGGTGCAGCGCAAAGCGAGTGTGATTCACCCGCCGGGTCACGCTGAGGCCGCCAGGCCCGCCACGCCTCTCTCCTGGTTGTTTGCGCCTTTCGGCACGGCCCGGCACGGCCACATCGCGGCCTGCCGCGGCCTGCATCCATGATGGCGGCCATATCGCGGTTCGGCGGAAAATAACCCAGCCGCGCGTACAGCCGCACGGGGGCGTGGCGGCCGGGACGGCCGGGACGACGACGTACAGGGTGTGCTGGAGGTGCAGGACGACGGCCTGCTCCTGCTGCTCCTCGCGCGGCCCGGCTGCATTCCTTACCATGTGTGCCGCGGCCTGGCGGCCCGGCGGAGGCGCGGCCGGCCGAGGCCTTGACCTACAAATGCCGTCATCGCCGAGCCCGCCACGCCGGCCAGGGTAATTACGGCCGGGCTGCCGGAGGCTCGCCTCGGCTTTCGATTCGGTGGCGGATCCGCGGCCGGTCCGTGGCACATGGCTGCGGCCCCACTGCTTCGGGATGCCGTCGCGGCCGTCCGCGGTCCGCGCCGTGCTGTACGCTTCGGCGTTGGTACGCCGGTCGCGCAGCATCGCGCCGTCACGCAGCTTTCCCGCGTTGCCGCCAAGCCAGGCCTGAGCGTCCGAGAGTCGTAATCGTCGCTCTGTCTCTCTCGCACTCAAGGGGCGGCCCGTAGAGGCGCGAGAAAGACAGAGCGACGAAAACGACTCTCGGAATCAGTCTGCAGGCCCAGCCAGGCCAGGCCAGGCCTTCCCTTTTCGGTCCGTCACGTCGCCGACGGCCTCTCTCCCTCGTCCAGGCGTCGCGCTGCGTCGCGTCGGCCGACCACGGCGTCGCGGCGCCATTCCGAAGCACGGCCACGCCCACGCCGCGCTCTACATCTATTGTGAGCCCGTGTGCGTGCGTGCCTGTGTGTTCGGAACGGCCGCGTGGCTCAGCAGATTCCGCGAGGGTGGAGGGAGCACCGCCCCAGGCCCCAGGCCGCCCGACGAAATCACTCGCAGATGGCCGACCAGGGCACTCCGCACTCCGCGCGGCACTCGTGGGCGCCAGGCACCACGCACTCTTTCTCTCTCTCACACCCACACAGTTCTTTCAGAGCCATAATGCGCACCGCCCCTCTCTGTTGCAGCTCTGCCCGCTAGAAGCTAGAACCCACCCGTCACAATGGCCATCAGCAGGTTCGCTCTCGTCAAGTTCCTGGAGTTCGTAAGTACACTCACAATCCCCACGTCCTTCGTCCTCACCGCGCTGCCGCGCGGCTTCGCTTCCGTCCTTGGAGTCCTTGGCGCTGCCGCCGCGGCCACGCGGTCTCGTCGGCGCGCTCCACGTTTCGTCGTTCGGCCTCTCTCGCACTGATCCGAAACGCCCCGTGAGTGCGACAGAGACAGAGAGCGATGTTTTGAATCGCTCCGCTGGCCGCGCACTCCGCGCCGCGCCGGCCGGTCCCGTGCCCCTGGGCGGCGCGGGGCGTGGCGAGCCGTGAGCCGTGGGCCCGGCGAAGTTCCTCCAGTGGCCAGTGGGCCAGGGTCGCGGCTCTCTCTCACTCACTCTCTCTCTCTCTCGCTCTCTCTCGCACGGCCGGACCAATGGGCCGCCCACCGCGCCGGGCCGACGGACGCACCAAAACAGGCAGACCCTGCGAGTGCATCGACTGGACTGCATTCTCCGCGGCCTCGACCGCCTCGACATGCACGCGCGGCGGCGCGGGGGGCACAAGAAGCAGTGCGTGTGGGCGGCCGATCGCGTGGGCGCTCTGGGAATTGGCGCGGCGCAGCCATTAGAGCCGTCGGGCCCGTCGGGCGGTGGCAGCGACTGGTTCCGAGCAGTGCTGTGTCCCTCTCTCTCTTCCACGCCCCTCGGGCCGCCCCGAGTGCGAAAGAGCGAACAGCACAAGCGCATTGATCGGAATCAGCCTGCAGGCTCTCGATGACCGGGACGCTCGAAAAAGGCGCGCCTGGGAAGTCCGACGGCGTCCTTGATCCTCCGCGGCGCGCGGCGTGCGGCTGGGCCTCCTCCAAGGACGCGGCGCCGCGGCGCTCCGAGAAAGGCAGGAAGAAGAAGGAGGCGCGCTGCAAATCATCGCACGGGTACTCGTCAGCGCGGTCGTGTCGCGGTCGTCCTCCGCGGTGCAATGGGTCGCTGCACCGCACAGTGGGCCAGAAGAGCAGTGGAGGCGGCCGAAACCCTAAACGCGTTTTGAGCTCCAGAGTAGCTAAATTGGCCTCGAACCGAACGGACCCCACCAATGGATTGCTCTCCGAACGAGGAATCCATTGGTGGGGTCACACGCTCGCTTCGAGTCCTGTTTAGCGACTCTGGAGCTCCATACGCGTCTAGAGTTTTGGCCGCCTCCACCGGTCTTCTGGCCCACTGTGCACCGCCACTGCTAATCCAACCCCCCCGTTGGCGCCGGGCGTGGCGGCGCGGTGCTAAAGCTAAGCCGCGGTATGGCGAGGCGGCCGCGGACAGACTCGTCGCCATCGCCATGCTGAGTAGGAAACAATGACGGGCCGTGGCGGGGCGGGGCGGGGCGGGCAAGGTTTACACGAGTCGACCGTGAACTCCTCTGCTTGGCGATGCGAAGGAGTCGACCGGACGGACGTTGCGGCCACGACAAAGTGTGCGTGTGCGCGCGCGCGCAGTGCTTGGCCAATGGCTTTGAGCTACGTCCAGCTAACGACCTGTCATAGCAGGGGCTGACTCACAATCAAATCGCGCACGCCTCCACAACGGCGCGGCAGTGCGGCAGCGCGGCGGGCCGGCCGGTGCGTGGAAAGGACGCGGGCGGCATATTTCACCGCGCGACCCCCTCGCCCTCCACGCGACTGGCCAACTGGCCGCTCGCTCTGGCGCGTCGCGGAAGCCGAAGACGCGGTCGCCGCGAAGCAGTGTGCCGGCGTCACGGCGTCACGGCGTGCCGGCGTGGCCGGGCGTGGCTGGCGTCGCGTCTTCGCCGTCAAAGGCCTGCGCCGCGCACGCATATTCCCTCGCTCTTACGGCGCGCACACGAACGGGCACTCCGAGAGGGGGGCGGGGGGCGTGGACGTGAGAACGCCTCTCGACAAGGGCGAGTGGGATGGGCGGCCTGGGCGGCATGGGCGCGCCAGAGAGGCGCCGCGCCCCGCGATGCTCTGGATCTCTGGGTGAGCGACAACCGCCGTCACTGTACTCTGCGACAAAGGGCGCCCCTCAAGCCAACCGCGGCGAGTCTCCCGAGCTTTTCAAACCCATTCAGAACCTCAAGTGCGCGCTTTTCCTGTGATTTCCAGGCGCTGGCCGCGGCCTGCGTGGGCCTCCACTACCACAGCTTCTCGGACACGCAGACGTCGCTCATGCTGGCGTCGGCCACCTTCGGCGGCTACCTCATCATCACGTGCGGTGTGTTCGCCGGCCTCCTGGCTGGCACCCCCGTCAACAGGCGCATCGTAAGTAGTGTACTAGCGGGCCGGCGTTGACGGCCACCTCGCTGCAGTGCGCTGCCCACCGCGGCGTGTGCCCCCTCCCCCTCCCCCACTCGTAATTGGAGTGTGGCCGTAAAGCAGCTGCTTGTACAGTGCAAGAGCAGGCGTTGTAACCCCACCGTAAAACCGGAGCTAAAAGGGGCGTCCCCTGGGCGAGCGCTCGACGCGAGGTCGGCGGCTGACACAATTTTCTGTTTCCAGGACATCTACTTCTGCCTGCTCGGCTGCGCCCTGTTCATCGCGTCCGGCTCCCTGGCCGTGGAGCACTTCCAGAACCTCGGCAAGGGCCAGCTGCGCGACTACGGCCTGGCCAAGGCCGCCCTGGCCATCATCAACGGCATCATCTTCCTGGTGGACGCCGTCTTCGTGTACCGCGGCGACTAGAGCCCCGCGCCGCACTGCCTCCATTCCAGTCTGAGCGGACCCTGTGGACGGCCGGGCACTTCTCGACGCCCTGCACACTGATTCCGAGAGTCACAGATTTCGTCGCTTTGTCTGTCTCGCACTCATAAGCACACCTTGTAGTTACGAGAGAGACGAAGCGACGAAAACGACTCTCGGAATTAGTCTGCTAGTCGACCTGGCGACCCGGCCGCTGCAGTGCCCCGCCCTGCCTGCCCTTCTCGGGCACGTTTCGAATCTCGAATCCGCCGCCCGGCCGGCCGGCACCAACATGGCGGCCGCCGGAGATACCCCGCGCGCTGCGGGACGCTAGCGGAGGGACTCCCAGCGCGGCGATACCCCTCACGGCAGCGCGGGGTACATCCGGCCGGTACAGTCACTTCCAGAAACCAGTGCGCCCGTGCCGGCCAAGCAACCAGGTGCTTCATACATGTGACTTTCATTCATCGTAGTAGTGTTGTTGTAGATTCATCGCTCAAACTGCACTGATGGTTGCACTTCAAATTTTTTTTACGTGTCGCATCCACACTGTTATCATGCTCGTACAAGTTGTTTAACTTACACTGTTTTAAATCCTCTCCCATTTTTAATCGGATGCGTTTGTTCTAAAATATTTATCATTCTCGTGTCTCTCTACAATGTATCTTAATTTATACACTATTTTTTACTTTTTTAAGCTTTTACAGTTTAATTTATAAGACCAAAGTAGAAGTTCGGTAAGGACATCCACGTAGTAAAAGACGCGACAGCTGTCATTATACTTTACAAAACGGTTACACTTTTTTCTATAAATGAGTTATGCATTGCCAGTATGTATTTCCTTGTCGTATGCTTTAACCTGCTGATAAGAATTTATTAAAACTGTTTCATATCGTAATCCGTGCGTATGTACCGACAAAGACCTGTTGCAATAAAGCTACGGCGTATGTGCTAAATCATCCCTGTCTTTCTAAATTATTGAACCTCAATCAAACGAATGTCAAAAATATTCTCGAAATGATAGACAGATATGCTGCCCTATGCCATATGGATCCCCAAAATGCGAAAAGGCCACACATTCCTTGCTAACTCTCCGCACGGCACTACCCCACGTCCAGCGGCGCTGGCTGGCGGCGCGGGGTATCGCCACCTCTCGCCTGGAGAGGGCGCCACGGGGCGGTCGTCGGGGTCTGATGGGATGCCTACCCGCACGGCGTTCGCCGCATCGACGTGAGATGAGATTCCAAGTCCCAAGACGTGCGGCGAAGCGACCAGCTCATTGGAGAAGGAGGCGCCAAAGATTTCCAAAGATTTCGTTTTCAAATCGGCGCCAACTTCAGCTGACCTGAAATAACAATTTCTATAAATATTCGAAAAATTTAAAAGACATGTTCCCTGAGGTGGGCGACGCTATCAGCTCACCACACTGCACTGCCGAAAAAAGCTAGGTGTCGCTTCTGGCCCCTTGCTCTGCCCGCCCAGTGGCCCCACACCAATTTTCCTCCGGGCCGACCGGGCGACCCACCACCGCCCCGCGGTCAAGATCTTCATCACGGGTTGACAAATGTGCGACACGGAGTAATGACGCACTGCTGCTCCTGCTCGGGGGCGTGGCGCTGGCGAGGCGGGGCGGGGCTGGGCGGGCGGGGCGGGGCGGGGCGTCGCTTTCCCGCGGCCACAGCAATTAATGCGCCCCCGGCCGACGCCGCCGACGCCCCAGAGACGCGAATCATTTAGCCCGTGCCCCGCAGTGCCGTGCCGGCAGTGCCGTGCCGGCAGGGCCGCGCTGCCCGCGTTGCCACCTTGAGGGCCCCGAGGCCTGGAGGGCGTACCTCAGCGCCCGGCCGCCCGGCACGCCCCCTCTCGGAAATAATAACAAATAATGATGATGATGTATGCAAACCATTTCCCATGGCACCCCGCGGCCCGCGCCTGGGACCGCCCCACAGTGGGCCAGAAAACAGTGGAGGCGGCCAAAATTCTGGACGCGTTTTGTGCTCCAAAGTCGCTAAGCATGACTCGAATCGCCACCAATGGATTGCTCTCCGAACTTGGAGTCCATTGGTGGGTCACACGTTCGGTTCGAGGCCCATTTAGCGACTCTGGAGCTCAAAACGCGTCTAGAGTTTTGGCCGCCTGCACTGTTTTCTGGCCCACTGTGCGCCCTGCCCGCCGTGCCGTGGCCGCCGTGGCTGCTCGATAGGCCACTTCGTGGAGGAGGGGGCGGCCTGCTGCCGGCAGCTCCGAAATTCGGCCACTTGTTCGTGACAGTGGCCGCGCGACGGCGACATGGTGACCGGAAGTGGGCCGGGCGACGCGATGCGCGCCTTCCGGTCGGCCGTCCCTGCGACGCCATTGGCCGAAGGGCACCGAAGGGCCGGCCAGGGATGAGGGTGCACTGCAGAGTCGCGGAGGAAAACAGGCGTCGGCGTCGGGGGTTGTTAAAAAATATTACAAATCGGTAGGGGTTCTCGGGCTGATTTTAGAAAACCACCCCTCAAACTCACCCTTGCTTTTCTCGGGGCGTCTGCTTTATGGAGCGGAAGTGTCGATACCGTGGTGGCGGGGCGTGGCGGGGCGTGGCGGGGGCGCGCCGACCAGAATATTAACGCGGCGAACATCCGCCCGAACACGTCGACGAGCCAAACTTTTTGTGAAAACGTCGCGTTATTTGCCCGGCAGCACACTTTGCACACTCGCCTAAAAAAAGGCAACAAAAAAAAACTTTCCGAATTTGAATAGGGCGATGGCGCGGGGGGTGAACGCTACGCTGTACGCAAACATGGGCCTCTAATTACTGCAGGGCTACCAACCGGCGTCACGCCAACGACAAACTAACGCCACTGTATAATGACTCGTGTGGTGGCCGCCCTGGTGGCCAGGCCAGGCCGCCCTGGTGGCCGCGCCGCCCGCTTTTCGTGAAAACGCTCTTCCCGGAAATTAAAAAGGCATTAAGGCGACGGGCCGGGCGGTGCCGTGACAGATAAGGAATCTGGACGCGCGCTTTTTGCTTTCGGCCGACGCTTTTTGCCCCTTGCGTTCTGCTTTCTGTGTGTTTTCCGAGGCGGCGCCAGCTTCCGCGGGGCCGCGGCGTCGCGTTCCCGGAATCTCGAATTACCAGCAGACTGATTCCGAGAGTCGTCTTCGTCGCTCTGTCTCTCTCGCGCCGTTACGGGACGCCCCACGAGTGCGAGAGATACAGCGAATGACTCGCGGAAACAGTCTGCAGAAGAATAAAATCGGTGCAGCATGAGAGGCCGCGTGACGGAGGAATTGGGGCAATGCCGCGCAATGCGAGTTAGGGGATGCTGAGGCATGTCGAGGGTGGCCTTGCCCTGCGCTGCAAGCTCGCTGTAAGTAAGTCGGAATTGAGTGAATATCCCCCGATGTGGCCACACGTGTCCCCAGCGGGATATCGCCCCCCACCCCAGGTCAATAAAAATAAAGGCCGCCACTTGCTGTGTGCAGTGCGCGCGGGGTGTCTCCGCGTCTCGCGGGGGAGGGCCGCGCTACAGACTGATTCCGAGACTCGTTTTCGTCGCTCTGTCTCCCTCGCACCTATAAGGGACGTCCCATGAGTGCGAGGGAGACAGAGCGACGAAAACGAGTCTCGGAATCACCCTGCTGGACCAGGCCGTGCGCGGTGAGTTGCTCGGGGTAGCGGCCGCAAAATTTGCCGGTCGCGCAGATCGCGCTTGGCCGCACAGCGGACCGTGGAATACCTGGTTAGGCGCGCTGTGCTCCGGGCTCAACCAACCCCCGAAATGGCTCGCATTACACACCTGGATGCTCCCCAAACGATGAAATCATCGCCACTGTTATGTATCTTAGGGTCGAGTTTGATTCGATTTCAGAACGTAAGAAGGTCAAAATGTGGAACGGCCGCTGCATCGTCGCCGTGTCACCGGGACTCGACTCCAGACCGACGCGACGCACTCCGCGATGGCGGGGCGGGCGCGTCCCGCGGGCCCCCACGCCACGGCCTGCAGGGCCTGCAGTGTGCCTGCAGTGGGCGGGCCGTGGCGGGCCGGACGCCCCAGCGCCGCGACACGCCGCGACACGGCAGGGCACGACGCCATGGCGGAGCGCGAAGCGACGGAGCCATTGTGTGCGCCGATAAAATCATCGCGCGGTGCGGCGGCCTGTCGCTCCTAATGACGGGCAGGGCACGGCACGGCACGCCGTCCGCTAGAACAACAACACCGTCACAATGGCGTCGCCGTCCGCCGCGCCGCTGCCATTGATTGAGGGGCGCAACCGCGCCGCGGAGGCGTGGCGGCGTGGCCGGGGCGGAGGGAGGCCCGCACAGTGGGCCAGAAGACCGGTGGAGGCGGCCAAAACTCTAGACGCGTTTTGAGCTCCAGAGTCGCTAGACAGGGCTCGAACCGAACGCGTGACCCCACCATTGGACTCCTCGTTCGGAAAGCAATCCATTGGTGGGGTCACACGTTCGGTTCGAGCCCTGCCTAGCGACCCTGGAGCTCAAAACGCGTCTTGAGTTTTGGCCGCCTCCACCGGTCTTCTGGCCCACCGTGGCCCGTGGACTCGAGTACCGGCCGCCGAAACGGGTAAACGGGAAAACCATCCCGCTGCAGACTGATTCCGCGAGAGTCGTTTTCGTCGCTCTGTCGCTCTCGCATCTGTACGGGACGCCTCATGAGTGCGAGAGAGTCAGAGCGACGAAAACAGACGTGTTCACCGCACGGGGTATCGCCTCGTGCGTGCGTACGGTGTGGACTGCGACCCGGGCGGGGGCGGCACGCCCGGGGCACGCCGCACCTCACCGCACCTCACCGCAGTGCCGCGCAAATGGAGTTATCAAGGTGTGGAGCTGGCAGCGGCCTCGGGCCGTCAGGGCCAGCAGGGCCAGCAGGGCCCCGGGGAACGAGCGAGGAGAGACAAAAGAAGGCGGGGAAAGGAAACACATGTAGGGGCACTGCGGTAATTAATTCGAGTGGCGTTGCTCGCGCTCATTAAGACGGACTAATTATTTTCGCATTAACATTCGTCATGCGATAACGAGAGCTTTGGCCCTGTCGTTGCGTCGCCACCATTAACCGCGGCATCTGATAAGGCGCGGCTATGTTTCATTTTCGAAAAGCGAACAACAATTGCGTCTAAATGTTTGAATTGCGGTGCAGCGATGAACAATGAGGTATTTGTAATTTTAGGAGCCATTGTCAATGGCGTGGGTTTCCTTGCAGTACAGGCAAACTGGAGCAGCACGCGGTCTCACCGAGAAGAAGAGAGGGAGGGTCACTTGCCAGCCGCTTCCCCGTTCCTTGGGGCTTCAAAACTTGACTCGTTCGCTTTATTTTTCATTAAAACAACAGCCCAACACGCTGCCGTACAATCACTTTTTCATACACACAGAGTGCAGGATTGTGTCTGTCATGCTGTTCTTTTTTTCACCGCCACCCCCGCGCCCCAAACTGTTTGTGTCAAAAACCAATAATTCACGGGATGCAACAAATCTCTGTCTCTGCGGCCGCACTGCCGGTGCTGCTGCTGCGGGCCTGCCACCCCGTTGTGCCCCTTGACATCACGTACATTGACCCAGGGGAGCCATCGTTCAACCCCTCCATGCGGGGGTGGCTGCCTCTCGGCCTCACTCGGCCTGGCTGGAGAGGTTCAGCCGTCAGGGCGCGGCGTGGCGGCGTGGCGGCGCGGCGGCCGGGAGGGGAGCCTCCGAGCACCCCGTCCAACCCTTGCCGTCGGCCCTGGCATGCCCTGCCGACTGACTCCGAGAGTCGTTTTCGTCGCTCTGTCTCTCTCGCGCCTATATGGAACGCCCCATGAGTGCGAGAGAGACAGAGCGACGAAAACGACTCTCGGAATAAGTCCGCTGCTGGCCCTGCTGCGGCACCCTGCGGCCGGCGGGTGTCAGAGGCCACTTCTGGTGGCGCGGCCGCCCTGCTGGAGGGACGGGACGCGCTGCGGGGCGGCCGGGGCCGTGCCG